CCATATCAAATGCTGATTGTCCTTCATTCTTGTGATCCAATAGCGTAAATTTCATCGCTATAGTCCTTTTCCTCCCCCATAGCATGTATGTATTAAGCATAAAATGATTTGCAGAATGTAGGGATTAATATATTGGCGGTCTTGCGTGGCTGGATAATTCTGTGAAGATTTGTTTTTGTGCACAATAACTAAAACGATTAAACCTCTCTGTTTTTCTAAGGATGCAGTGCTCTGTTCTCATAAAAATGGAGGGGAAACACAAACCGTGCTCTATTTGAACCTTGAAAATGAGGTTAGTATGCTAGCCTTCAAAAGTTTGGGGTCAGTAAGATTTTTATTTTATTCTTTTATTTTGAATTTCTGTTCATCAAAGTATCCTGGGGAAAAAAAGTTCATAGTTTCCACATAAAAACAAAGAAACGGCACAACTGTTTTCAAAAGTATTGGTAAAAATGTTTCTTTAGCAGCAAATCAGCATATTAGATTGATTTCTGAAGGATCATGTGATGCTGAAGACTGGAGTAATGATGCTGACAATTCAGCTTTGATCACAGGAATAAATTACATTTTAAAATATATTCAAATAGAAACCAGAAATTTGTAATTGTAATAATATTTTAAAATTTTTAATGATTTGTCTGTATTTTTCATCAAATAAATGCAGGCTTGGTGAGCAGAAGAGACTTGATTGAACCATGGAGTATGAACATATATACTGTATGTGACCCTGGACCACAAAACCAGTCATAAGAGTCAATTTTTTGAAATTGAGATTTATACATTATACAATAAATAAGCTTTCCATTGATGTATGGTTTGTTAGGATTGGACAATATTTGGCCGAGATACAACTATTTGAAAATCTGGAATCTGAGGGAGCAAAAAAATCTAAATATTGAGAAAGCAGCAAATCAGCATATTAGATTGATTTCTGAAGGATCATGTGATGCTGAAGACTGGAGTAATGATGCTGACAATTCAGCTTTGATCACAGGAATAAATTACATTTTAAAATATATTCAAATAGAAACCAGAAATTTGTAATTGTAATAATATTTTAAAATTTTTAATGATTTGTCTGTATTTTTCATCAAATAAATGCAGGCTTGGTGAGCAGAAGAGACTTGATTGAACCATGGAGTATGAACATATATACTGTATGTGACCCTGGACCACAAAACCAGTCATAAGAGTCAATTTTTTGAAATTGAGATTTATACATTATACCATAAAAGAAAAATTAATAATTTTGACCCATACAATGTATTGTTGGCTATTGCTACAAATATAACCTTGCTACTTATGACTGGTTTTGTGCTCCAGGGTCACACATATAGTCTCAACAAAATGTCACCTATATATTTATATCTCTATATTTATTGGAAATGATACTGTAGTATACTACCATGCTATTCTTTGAATTCTCAGAGCACCAAAACTGACTACAAATGTGTACGGGACCGAGGGGGCATGTGGAAAGAGTGCAATGCACAAACACACACGCTCACTAATGCTCAAAACAAGTGGTTCCTGGCCAGCCATTTCTATGTTGAATCACTTTAAGTGGTAATGCACCCATTATCAGAGTGGAGCTGGTCAGTGTAGAGTCTATCCATCTATTTTTACCTGCTGTGGTCAGCAGGCCCATTTAGCCATCCGGTAATGAGAGCTAATGAGCTGCTCCTCTCCACACAGCCCCGGACAAATCACATAGCATCTGATTTGCACCACAACAATTCAATAGCCAAAGATTAAGCCTGGTCACCAGAGACTGAATCTTTATATCATACCTGCTGATCTATGGAATCAGATCGAGAAAAGACCCAAAAAATGAATATTTGTCAATAAGTCTGAACCCCGTAAAGCCTACTGTATCATATTTGATGCATGAATTTCTAAGGCCTCTAAATTACCTACACGATCAAAACTTTGCTGAAAACCTGTTGCACACAATCTTCTACATGCCTTCTGTTGTCTGATTGATAGTTCAGGCTTTTTTTTTTTTTAGCAAGGAAAAGACCTTTAGTATAATTGTCCAAAAGTCCACCGCCATGTGGTTCACTTGTCTTTTTGCTGTGAAATCTTTATTGATTTTTATAAAGTGAATTTTTATATTGTTAGAAATATTTCAAGATGAACATTTGCTGGACTGAAGAAACTTAGGTTTATTTAATTATCCATACTTTTTATTTTTTTTATTTTTTTTAGAAAATCTAAATATGATCAGGCTTTTGAGAAATGTTTATTTGTTCATTCTCAATCACTAATGTATAGCACTGCATTATTTGTTTTGAAGCTACAGAGCTTTGTTCATAAAACTAAGCATTTAAATATAGTTTTATTAAGACATATTATACAGTAAGATATATACAGTGACAGAATTTCAGAATTTCATCTTAATTTTTGGCCATATAATAAAATCAGCATCTGCACCAGATTGCATATTTTTGCTCAGTTTGGGCCTCTGAATAAATGTTTTTTCCACCTTGAATAGGAGATCCATATTCTGCACTATATGAGCTGTAAATGCCTGTTGCATCGCATGTTATACAAGACATAAAACACATTTTATGCATTTTGTCTAAATAAATAAATAAAAAAGATTTTTCTGACGATTGTTTCTTATGTAAGATTTAGAAAAGTCATGTTTCTTTAAATAATGTAATTATGAACATGGATAAATGAAGACTCATTGTTAGCACTATATATAGGCTATACATGGCACATTATGCAAATACAAGTTTTGGTGCATGAGTGATTTTTGATTAGTCATCTCAGTTTTTGCATCTCCTCCTACTTAGTGCTGTAATGATATAAATCCAACGTGACAAATTAAGAGCACACAAAAAATATTCAGTGCATATTTTCTCTGATTGTTTGTTATTGTTCCATTCAGCTTGATTTCTAGCATTTCCAGGAAGATGGGATGTGCAGCTGCCACAACGATTACAAACGACAAGCTAAAACGACACATGCATTAAAAGAAGCACAGCCACAGAAAAACACATAACAGCCTCTTCAGTTACCTCAGCCAAGTAGAGCACTTCAACACGAACAAGCAGCCAAACCAATCAAAAGAACAGGCTCACACTGACCATAACCTATGTTCTTAACTATTAAGCTTCAAACATCCTATTAGGAGTCAACGATTTGCGCTAACTCCATTCATCTCCCAAAAAAAAAAAAATTAAAACAATAATGGTAAGTCAGTAGTTCAGATTTTTACTTGCCTTGTAAACACTTTCACTGTTCTAAATACAATGAATGAATGAATAAATAAATAAATAAAAGAAAAAAACTATTTATATTTTTAAAAATATTTTTGTATTTTTATGTTTTTCATTTAAAATTATGATTTATATCATTATCAAAAAATAACTTAATAATTAAAAATATGTATTTATTTATTTTTGTTTAATTAAAATTGTTTTCTTACAAGCAATCATTTATTAGATATTTATAATGAATAATTTACAAAAAATATTTCTTACAAAAATAAACAAATGATCTTTAATTTATTTGTTTTAATATTTTTCTTTTAAAAGTACGCTTTACAACCAAAAATAATTTACCTACGTCATTTTAAAATTTAGTTGTTTTTTAAAAGTTGTTTTACAACCAACCATTTATTAGATGTTTCTAATAATTTTAATAACAAATATATATTTTTAATTGTATATATATTTTAAAGATTTTTTTATTTAAAATTGTGCTTAACATCTTTACAAAAATAATGTACCTAAAAATATTAAATTGTTTTTAAAATGTTTTTATTAAAATATTTTTAACAACCCCTCAGCTTTTTATAATGAATTATTTAAATATATATATATATACATATATATACACTGAACAAAATTGAAAAACACTTTTGTTTTTGCCCCCATTTTTCATGAGAATATTTGAGAGAAATAGGCCTTTTGTGTACATAGAAAAAGTCTTAGATCTTTGAGTTCAGCTCATGAAAAATGGGGGCAAAAACAAAAGTGTTGCGTTTATAATTTTGTTCAGTGTATATATATATATATATATATTGTAAAAAGGTTTGTATTTTCAATAATAACTAGAAAACATATATTTTTACATTATAATGCAACCTTAATAAAAGCTATAAATAGCTTGCAGTTTATCATGCATATGATAAACAAACATAATATTTAGTGACAACACAACATTGCTGACTGATCAGCAGACTGGCATGGACCATCCTTATTTTTGAGCCTTGACCGCTCAGCCGTCTCTTTAAGATATTTATATCAGTTATAGTTTAATTGGTACAAAACAAACTATTTTTCCAGGCCAAAGGATGACTCAAAATAAATGTAATTTGACAGACAAGCCTAATTTTGGCAACCAGAGTCCCATCTTAGTGCATGTCGTCTTATATAACACCTTCTCTGGCATTCCATATCCTCTTGACATTTATGATTCAAATTTCCAGAGCTGCTTTCAACGTGTTGTAGACACTCTTAGTCACAGGCCGGCTAATACTAATGACCGTTTCCTTCAGAAGTTCTCAAAATAAGGCGAAATGAGACCTTCAACTGGAATTGCAGGAATGAGTGACGTGTTTTCAATGTTGTTTGATTTGGTGGAGTCATTTTAACGTACGGACATGGAGAGCTGCCAGACCCTTCTGTATACGTCTGTCTTCATATTGCATCATAACTGCATCATCCCGTGACACTAATACATCATTACGCCAACTGCCTGGACAATATATTTATCATATTTTTCTAAAAAATGAGTGCTATGCAATCTTTAATGTCGCATTTGTGCATTTCTTTCTCTGCACCTGTGCAGTCCAATTTATGTGCATTTTCATGGATGAAAACAAACGGCAGACATAAGTCAAAGAAATATAATTGAGACAGTTTGAACATTACTCAAAATAATGGCCTATTATTCTGAACAGCCGTCACTGTGGAACCAAAGAAGACAGGCAGAAACTACAGTTTTGCGACACTGAAATCGAGCGCAGTCAAGACTTTCATGGCTCTTCAACTTTTTATTTTACTTTGAATGGCAAAAACAAAAATTTCCAATGCCTCCCGAACCCAAATGATCCCTTTAGAATCAGAATTCAGACAGAAGCAACATAAATATTTTTTACAAAATAATCCATTTACAAAATGCACGGAAATAGTGTTACATCATCACTCGAGATCCAATCAGCAGTCTTCAGGTCCGAATATTGTACCAGACCGGGGCTTGTTTCAATGCATTTATTGATCTACAATTTACAGGAAACATGTCAAAGCAAACCGGTTTCCAAGGCCAAAGCACACTATGTACATCTTCAAGCTGACATCTCTCATCCAAGTTTATTTTCTATGTACAGTGCAAACATTTACGTCATAGGTAACCACATTTTTCTTTTTCAACACGTTGTTTTAGTAGTACGCTGATGTCCTATACTAGACTGTGTAAATGGAAAACCTATGATGGTCTTGGAGAGCAGTTTTCTTGCCTTCAAACCGACCTCAGAGAGCCTAGAAGAGATAAAAGATCAGCATTTAAATGAGCTTGATTTACCAGGTTGCAAGCACTTTTATTAGTACAAAGCCTTATGCACGTCTCCATCTAACGTACCAATGGTATATGATTCAGAAGTCGGTCTACGGTGACGTCATCGTAGCTCTCCCGATACGTGGTCTCCCCTCCAGTCGATTCCTCCTGCATGCTGGGTGGGTCTTCTTGACTGAAGAGATCAGTAGATATGTTTAACATCTTTGTTTCTGAGCATTTCCACAAAACCTTGGAAAGGCGCTTTATACCTTCTCTTTCCTGTGAGAACGGAGTTGAGATATTTCTTCACTGCCATCTGCTTGCGAAAGCGGCTATAGTTGTCTGTGAATATTGCGTCTGAATGACGCTTCATCGGCGCCTGGTCTTCCATCAAATCATCACTAGAATTGCATAAAGAAATAAATCAGACATGCATTATGTGTTACATTCATGCATTTAGCAGACACTTTTAATCAGAGCTTGTAATGGTTATCTACTTGGGAAACAGATGAATTGAACTTGGTGTAATTGGATTTATGTTTTGGTCATCTTTCAATATAATTACAGATTTTAGATGCAAAGGATGCACAATGCAAAGAAGGCACGATATTCAATGATAATTCAAACTGTCATTTCATTCTGATATTTGAGATCACCAATACATTTCACATTTACTTTTATTCATTTAGCAGACAATTCATTATGGGATTATACGATTATATAATTCTATGACCATTTTGAGAATTTGTATATGGATAAATATATAAACCATTATAGAAATATGTTCAGAATTCTGGACTTACAGATTTACTTTATATACTGCAATCCAGTATTATAGATGCAATATCATGCCACTTTCTTTGCATCTAAAATCTGTGATTATATCGAACGATTACCAACACATAAATCCAATTACACCAAATTCAATTGATCTGTCTCCATAGAATCTCTGATCTTAAACTAGTCTGAGGTAGTTTTCTGGTTTCAGCTCGCCTTCAAGTTGGTTTTCACTGTTCAGGTCTGGTTTAATGGTTTTAGAAGGGTTTTGGGAGACCAGCTAAACCAGCTGAACACCACCTGGGTGATCAGTGAAGACCAGCAAACCTTAAGCTTGTTTCAGCAGGGCTATGGATCACTGCCAGAATGCATCTGCATTAAAAAAGATCCATGTACCTGACCCGCTTTCCGATCAGTGACTCCAGGTACCGTCTGGCAGATAACTGTCCTAGAAGTTTACTGTATCCGCTTGTGAAGAGCCCGTCTGCATGTCTCGTCTCTCTGCAAACAGACACAGAACCAACTGCAATAAGTAACTTTACTCCAAATCAGTTACTCCGATTTAGCCTACTCTAATCCAGTGTGAATGACACAGTATACTTCAGTTGCTCATATAATTCATTTGATTTCTTGTAAAGCTGCTTGGTTTAATTATATAAATGCTTTAAAGCTTTTTTTGCAATGTCTATACTCTCTTTCACACAAAAAAAGCTACAATGGCAACCATAGCTTCCGGCAACAATATAAATAGTTTAACAGCTTCTTAAGCTGTGTTAAGATCTCATATACATTCATTAGGATGCTATTTATTAAGTATAGAATGGTTACCATGGTAAATTTCGCGTGTTCATTTAAGAGCAAACCAACGATTAAGCATTTGGAGGTCGTTAAAACACTTGGGCTACTTCTACACTGCCTATGTATAAATGACATTTTGAATAGAAATGATGTATAGCTTATATGGGGATTCATACAGGGTGGCAATATTGTAATTTACGTAAATATCTAATGAGACGACAAAATAACCTTTCTTTGTTTCTTTGTGTTTTTGTCTTTTTTTTTTTTTTTTTTTTTTTTTTTTTTTTTTTTTTTCATCTGAGGCGATTCAACAGCGCGCGCGCACCGCTCTAATGGCGCGAACAGCGCGCGCATATTCCGATAGAGAAAATGCTTTAAAACATCATAAAATAGTTAGGAATTAAGTTTTATTCATGTGCTTTAATAGAGCTGAATTCTTACCTCATGGAGGCGAAGGGTAAACTTAAGGTCCGGACATATAAAACACTGGAGAGAGTTATGAAGAGCAAAAGCTGAGAGCCGTTCCTCACGAGCATTGCTTTACACCTGTGCATACATGAATACATTTCATGTTGTTATTTTATTCAAATAACAATGTTATTTCACACTGAATAAAACACCAAATGTAATTGCATTTTAAAACTTTAATACAATATTAAAGACACTTGAATGCATGCAAAATTAAGTTAAAATATGCAATCTGTTTTCGCTGTTTGTATAAATTGATTCTTTAGGCTATGGAAGACATTTTTATTTTATTAAAGTTTTAGCTTTGATTAAAACAATTTAAAATTAGTATGATCGTTCAGAAAAATGTCCTATTTAGTTACAAGGCTGCGGTGTTTTATTGTAAAAACATACGTATAAAAATACTATAATATTGTTTCATTGTGAACATCAATTAATGTAGGCTAAATGACGTGCAATATGATTAGACTATATGTTGCGAATGTAAAATAAAACTAGTGTAAATGAATGCAACATGCACGTAAAGTAAAAAGTGACTGTGGTAAATGTTCAGCTGAGTAAATCAAATCAAAGGAACTTACATGTGCTATAGAGATGTGATCCGCGCGCTGATCGGGGTCCTGAAATACCTCCAGTCAAACCTCCCAAAGTGACCAGGTGCTTTTTAAAGTTCCTTTGCGCGGTCTTGCGAATGTTTTGTGTCATTCCTGGTGATTCATTCTTTGGATATTTGTTTGCATGGATGCACTTTTTGGTCAAAGAAGAGATTGAGCTGAAACAACACATGAAATAATAAACCCAGCATGACTTCCCAAGTCAAAAAACACTAAGAAAATGCAAAAAAGCATGTGCACAGAATTCATGTTGGAATTTGTATTAAAATTTGGAACTGATCTAAAAAAAAAAAAACATCTTAAAAGGGAATATTATAGAATTCTATAAAATATTTCAGGACACATTTCTCAGTAGGTTTAATACTGTCAAGTCACTTTTAAAAAGACAGATGATAGATAGAATCTTAAAATTAAGGTTCTTTATTGCCATCGATGGTCCATGAAGAACCTTTACAGTTTTTCTCAGTCGCTTTGGTGCATGTCTCAAATCAGAAATGAAATTCTCAAAACTACTTGTACAACTTCCACATCATCTAGTCATTTGTACACATCATAAAAGCAGTTTCTCATACTTGTGAACAAGCTGCGATTGCTTTGGTACATTCATGCAATTGATTATGTACATTTATCTGCGGTTTCCTATATTATCAGTTGCTAATGTCATGTTGCTCAAAATGTATTATATAGTTTTCTGTGCAATAGTCTTACCCCTCAATACATCTAGTCTTTAATTCATCGTATAAGTCATTAAATGCAAAATGGTTCATCTAGTTGTCATAAAGTGTCAAGCACATTTTTTACACATTATAATTAGACTTTTTGTAAATTTGGCACGAATTGTGCAAGTGGATCTTGACTTTCACTAATGAAGAGAATGTAGATCAACCAATGATAAACCATTTCTCTCAAATAGCTCAAAGGTTCATCTCACGAATCTTCAGTTGGAAAGCATATACTGTATAGACAGAGGACAACACAAGAGTTACATTACTTTTGAGAGATGAACTAAATATTTTGAGTAAGTTACAGGCTTTTGCAGGTAATCTATTGTGTGGTGCTGTTTGTACGAATTGTTTTGAGAAATGCACATACTTTTTTGCAAATATTAAGGATGATTTGAGAAATGCACCAAAGCGACTGAGAAAAACTGTAACATCCATGGAACCTTGGTTTCCATTCCACAAAAGTTATTTACAGTTAAAAAAAAAGTTTCTTTAGATTATTGAAATGTTCTTCACAAATTAAAATAAAAAATAGTTATATAAGAATTGGGGAATGATCGAATGAGATAGATAGATAGATAGATAGATAGATACCCAGATAGATAGATACCCAGATCGATAGATACCCAGATCGATCGATAGATAGATAGATAGATAGATAGATAGATACCCAGATCGATAGATACCCAGATCGATAGATAGATAGA